CTTACCTTTACCTTCCATTCTTTTTCTACATGTTCAGGGCAACTGCACTTCCAATGTAAGCTGTGAGTCAAGAGAGACTAAAGACTTAGAATGTGCTTTTTCAAAAGCACTGAACCTGCAGTTCACCAGATCTGTTGAGGTTGCTGAATGCAGTGTGTGGTTGAAACTTAGTGAGAACTCTGGGCTTCAGTTTTCTTAAAAAAAAAGACAAAAAGAGTGCCAAACATGATATGGTGATGATAGAGTGAAGGGAAACTAAGAGACTTGTGGGGAAGGAATGTGCATAGGAATTGTAGAATTGTGGGTGGAGAAGAGAAAGAACAGTATTTTCAGCTATAATAATTCTGACTATTATGTGCTGTTCGTCTCTTCAGTTCATCCTCAGTCATGTAATCAAAAACTTCAAATACCATATTCTTATCCTTTCTGCAATATGATGTCATTACTGTAATTGGGAAAATAAGGCCTAAATATTTTAATTTTTAAGTTTTTTAATCTCAAAAAATTCATTAATAGATAACTGGGCCTAAGAAAAAATTTTATGAAAATGTAAACAGTGCCTTTGGAATTTTACTTGGGCAGTTTGCTCATTGTTTTCAGAAGGGTCTTTGTCATATATATCTCTTTGAATTAAGAACTACCCAATAAAGTGACTTTTAAATGTCGCAGAAAGATGGAAAAGGATGTTACTCATTAAGCTTATTCTAGACTTTTTAGAACATTAAATAAACTGTGTAGCATTTTCTAGCAAAAATTTTTAAAACTGCAGACTTCTGAGTGAAAACTATAGGTTACTGATCACGAAATTGTTCAATGTGTGCAGGCAAGCAAAAGAAAGTTAGAGTCAAGGTTCTGCAAAAAGAGGGATGCTGAAATTGCTGCACTGGATCAGGCCTGTAAAATGATCTTACATATATTAACTTCCCTTTCACTTTGTAAAAATTATGTCATTGCCAGAAATGGAAAAGCTTGTACTGCTGTTGTTTTCTAATCCTCTAATATACAAGTAAATCTTCGTACCTATAGGTACATAAACCATAAAATCCTCAAGGACTTGTGAAATTCAGTGTACAACATGTTTGTTCAATTAATTTTTTCTCTGTTAATAATATGTTTTCCTTCTGTATCCTCTTACAGGTTTTTTGGGGTTTTTTTGAGAGTGAGTTGGGTTTTATTTATATTGTGGTAGCAAAGGGGTGATGTTTGTTACAATACTTTCAAACTGTGCTTTTTTTGTTTTTGTGTATACCTCGGTCCTGTGTTGTCTTCCATTGTGGAAGATTTGCAGGCCAAATGTTAGATTTTATTCATGTGAAATCTTCCCTCTGCCTACACCTTTCTTTATGCTGAGCTCTCATGTTTTTAGTGTTGTGGAGGGGTTTTGACTGTTCTTTGTCTATACTCATAAACAGTATTCTAAAAGAGGGAGACATAGTATGGATCTGTTACAGTAATTTCAGCATTTCTTTCTTCAGAGTACTTTAGTTTTTCTTGGAGGTTGTTTTCTTTTGAGGGCTTGTTTTGATTAGGCAGCTTTCTAAGATATTTTTCTTAGACCTTTCTAGACGGAAGTGCAGACTCTTGCTGGGTTGGGAATTTGGTAGGTTTTTTTATCATGTATATTACCTCTCAATATTAAACTGAATCTGTTCCCATGTTTATAGGATTGCTGGGAAATTCAGGTTGGAAGGGAACTTGCAAGATCTCTAGTCTAACCTCCTGCTGAAAGCAGGGTCACCTATGAGGTCAGACCAGGTTTTGAGGGACTTTATCCAGTCTGGCCTTAAAAAACTTGAAGCAAGGAGAGTACAAAACTTTTCTAGGTATCTGTTCCAGTCCTCGGCTGTCCTCATGGTGAAAATAAGTCATCTTGTATCCAGTCTGGACTTCCCTTGTTTCAACTTATGGCTTCTTGTCCTGTCACAGTGTACCCCTGTTGTGAGCCTGACTCCCTGCTGACCTCCTTGTACATACAGGCAGGCTGCTGTTAAGGTATTCTCAAAGCCACGTCTTCTCCAGGCTGAATAAGCCCAGCTGTCTCAGTCTTTCCTCACAGGACAAGTGCTCTGGCTCCCTGAGCATCTTGGTGCTTTACTGTGTCCATGTTATGGATGTATTTCTTGTACCGTGGAGCCCAAAATGGGGCACGTTAGACCATAGCTGGAATAATAAGCACTGAATACAGGTGACAATCAGTTCCTTCATCTACTGGCAAGGCTCTTAATAAAGCCTGGGATGCTGTTGACCTTTCCTGACAGGGCACACTGCTGGCTCACGATCAGTTTGCTGTATGCCAAGACATTTTCCACAGAACAGCTCCCCAGCCATTCTTCAGCCTGAATCATTGCCAGGGCCTCTCAGGTGCAGTGTTTTGTGTTTATTCTGTCTGAATTGATACAGCTCCTGTTGGGTCTGTTCCTCCAGCCTGTCTCGGTCCATCTGAATGGCATGCCTGCCTTTGGATGTGTTGACTGAACCTCTTCACCCCAGATAGTTTATCTTAAAATTCTGACCAGAATATACCCTACCAGCCCTGCAAGTCACTGGTAAAAGTGTTTAATGGGCTTGTCCTGGGTAGACTGTTACAGCACTTCATCTGATACCATTCTCCAGGTAGCACACAACACAGTAAGTTTTTGTGTTCCTGAGTACTTCCTCACTCTGTGACTAATTTTGTTGGTAAACTTCCTGTGAGAAACTTTGTCTGGGCCATTGTACCGTATCTTCTGCAGTTTTTTATGATGCAGATTTCAGTGATTTCAGATACTTCCCTCTGGGGTTTTCTAGTTGCATTAACACAGATTGTGCCTGGACCTACAATCTTGTTCCTAGCTCAGGCACTTTGTTGTTTGTCATTATTTGCCCACTTCTCTTTGGAAGTGACTTTGGTAGATAAGCCTGCTGGAACAGTGATGTCATTAGTATTTTTTATATAAAATTCATAATAAAGCAACAGTTTTATTGGCATTACTTCATCAGTTGCCTTTTCCTGGTGGTGGTGTACTAGATGTTCCAGGTCTTATTCAGATTTCTTGATTATGATCTAATTGGTAATGTCCCGTTTCTAAGTGTTTGTTGGTTTTAAAATCATTGCATTTTATACTTCATTTTTTATACCTCGTCTTCTATAGCTTCATTAAATCAAAATTCTGTTTTACACAGGAGTCTTGTTAGTTTAGCACTACATATGCTGCATGTAGTGCTTCTTTATTCCCAAAGTCTCCCTTTCATCTTTCTTCCCAGTACTGGCCACAAACTGTTCCATGCTTATCATTCATTGGAACTGTATGTGTCTTAAACCATCAATAGGGGAAAATTCTCTTGTGTAAGAGTGTGTAACCCATCATGCTGTTATGCGATTTGGTCACACATCTGTAGCTGTTTTACCCATTGACACACTTGCATTTTAGCATTTTCAACAACAGAATTAGTGGAATGAGTATCTTTTTCTTCAACTAGACAGTTTTGAGTCTAGCTCTTAGAGCTCTTGTGAATCAGGTATGGACTGAGGTATCTACAGGTTTCAGTATGTGATATGGTGGGAATACATGGATAGAAGTCCAAGTTATTTACAAAGCTGTAAATCAAAATTTTCTTGCTTTCAAACTTGGCTTTTCCTTGAAAATACTATGTTGCCTGTGAGTCCTGTGAGTACGTATTTACAAATGTAAAATTACCTTACACAGATTTGATTGGCTGTTTGTCTTCTGGATGTCATTAGCACCTTATAGTTCATCAGTTTGTCAGTTCATGTGGTTTTGCTTAAGGCCGTGTCTGTGCAGTCAAATAGCATAATTTCCAGTATCCTTGGTGGATGTCACTGTGCAGATTATGATTTTTGTCAGTATTTTTGACCTGTCAGCAGGATCAATGTACAAATGAGGAAACTTGACCCTTTTGGGGGGAGGGTAGGGGTGCAGTGGGAAGTGGCTGCTGGATGGGTCTGGGGTTTTTTTTTGGGGGGGGGGTTGCCCCTTCAAAGACTGACTAAACTGTTATCTTTACAGACTGAATAGTGCTTCTCTCCTCTTTCCAGTTAAATGTAGTGGATCGTGGATTTGTGTGTGATTATGATTCAGTTGCTTTGTTGTATGGTTTGAGTATTGCAGTGTGACCTGTTTGCTGGCATCACATGAAATAGAGCATTGCTAACTGTGTATCTGGGTGTTTATATAAAATACTAGTTGCATGTGTAGAATTTTTATATAAAGAGAAGAATATTTTGCTACTTTTGCAAGAAATTCTGACTGAATTAAGTCATTAAATGAAGAGCGAGTAATTAATTAACAATAAAATATAATACAATTCTTCTTTCTGGCCAAAGAAATTGCTGAAAATGTATGCTAAAACTGACATTTTAAAAGCAAACAATTAAACATAAAACTTCCTTACTGCTCTTGGAATCTTCTAACAAGTGAGCCAAAGGAAATGCCTACCTTATGTTGTCATTGGAACAGCATCTATTTGAGGTTTCCTTAGGCCTCTTTTTTACCCTGCTAACTAAGCTCTGTGTGTGCAGTGAGTCTCTTTTTTGTAGAAAAGTTATTTTTTCACAAGAAGTACTCTGCTTTTGCAGCAGTTTGTCTGTGCCTAATACATTTCTTCTAAAATTCTGATTTTTTTTTTTTCTCCACAGATGTTGATAGACCTATTTTTTTTTTAATTCCTGCTTTATACATAAGGAAGAAGTGGTAGAAATAATACTTAGAATGACCGAGGAAGTCCTTAACAGAGCAAAACTTAGAATCTAGATAGCCTAACTGATAGCCATTAAATCATTCTTTTTCCTGTGTAAGATCTTCTGAAATCTGTGCTATGAAATGATACCATAGCAATGGGGTTGGAGATGTACATATGTTGCTAAGAAACTAAATGATCTGTTCTGGACCAGCCACTGTGATAAAGTGGCTGCCTTAAGTTGTCGCATATGGAAAAGGGCCACTTTAGGTGATGTGCATTTTGCTCCACCGATTTCTGACCTGCAATGCTTGCCTTTGCAGATGGAACATGAGGATTTTGTAATGGAGGGGCATGGCAAGACTCCACCTCCTGGTGAAGAAAACAAACAGTGAGTCACACATTTATTTAAAAAGGGCCTTACCATAGTAAATGGTGTGAAGCACTCTTGTTTAAATGTGCTGGGAGCATTGGTTGGTTGTTTGGTGCTCACCCTTTTGGTTCCTTAAATATCCATATGTAATAGTGGATGGTGGCTGAAAAAAAAAAGACGCAGGATGTTGATTTGCCTTAAATGTAAAAGCAGAGAAACGTGCATTGCAATTTCAGAATGTTAATCAGAAATGGTTGTAAAAGGGATAATCATTCTGGAAGCTTGGCACTGAGGTAGTGAGTTTGTACATGAAGTTTTTATACAGCTGCTCTGCACTGAAATAATGTGAAATATGGTGGAACCAGTGCCTTCCTTTTGGTGTGCATATGGTAGGTTGGTCCTCTTTGAAATACGAGCTTTGTTTCTATAGAATGCATTTTAATAAAGGATCCAAAATTATAAACAAAACACTCAAGGATGAACAATTTAAGATGCTGGTATGCAGTGCTTTAGGGAAACCAGCTTGATCAGGGAAGAAAATGACAGATTTTTGTTAGGAAAAAGCTTTTTCATATGACTTCAAACTGAAATCCAGTAACAGTTGGATTTTTCCCTGAGATTTTGTTTGGATAGGAAGAACAGAGCCTTGTCCTAGACGTGTTGCAGTAATGGTTGTATTCCACATTCTTTTCATTAGTTAATGCGATGGTGATTCATTTTTGATATCATAATTAATTTTTTTTTCTGACCTGCCTTTTGGAGCAAGCAATAACATGATCTTTGGGAAATCCACATCACAGAATTCTTTTTTTCCTATGCCTATTTTGATGTCTCCTCACAAGAAGAAGTTCTCGTTGATCTGCACTACACTTGTTTGACTTGGGGTAAAGGTCTTCCTTGCCTTCTAGATAAGCTAGCAACTGTAAGTCCTCTGCATTTGTGATAATTAGAAGCCATTTCTGAGGTAGACAAGTTGAGTTCAGCAAAGTTCTAGTGCTGAACATGCACATTCTTTGCATCATGGATGTGAGCCAAACTTCTCAAAGTAATTGTTGATATTTCTTTCTGTTCAGACTGGGCAACTTACTGTGGTACCAAGAGATACAAAGCTTGTTGAAATAGAAACTTTCAGAAAGTTCCAGAAGAAAAATCAGTGCAGAAATAAAAAGTAGGAGTTACATTTGTGCTCTTCTGAATTGTTTCTTTAGATATCTAGTATAGTGAAATACATTATTGTAGTGAGTAATATAAGGGATTTTGTATTGGATTTGTCGTAGCTTTGTGTTTGCTGTCTTATTTCAGGTGCAAGTGGACCTAGAATTACTTTACAGTTGACCTGATTTCTAATTAGAGCTTTTCAAGTGGCTTACAACATTATCTCTCTTCCCCAAAACTGTGGTTATTAGAAAGAGAATATGAGATTAGTGATAGGCAGGATTTTAATTTTTTTTTAACTAATAAAGTTGTGTTCAGGTGGCATGCGGAATCTTGTCATACGGATCCTGCCATAGGAGTATCATTTCTAATAATGTTGTTAATAATATTTTTATAGAAGTCTAAAGGTGCAATTTTAGTAATGCAACAAAGAGTTGAAGATACACAGCTTGTAAAATAACGCCAGCAAAATTCTATTCAGTCACTTGAAACTTTTTCTACCCACAATCTCAAATTTTCAACTAACAAAATTGTCTGCCTTGATAGAGTTTACCTCTTGGTATAAGAAAAGGAAAAAAAAAAATCTGAAGTTACCGCTTTGTATTATCACTTCCTTGCATTAGGGATTAGTTGGATATCCTGGACTGGGTCTTGTGAAGAACAACAGAGAGGAACTGGAGCATCTGACAGAGGAGAAGCTGAGAAAGCTGTGACTGTTTAGCCTTGTGATGAGAAAATTTGGAGGAGAATCTTATTATCCACTTGTAGAGATACCTGACGAGGGGACTAGAGAAGACAGACAAATTCTTCACAGTGGTGCCTGGTGGAGAGGCAAGAAGCAATTGGCATAAACTGAAATACAGGAAACTACACTCAAACATCAGGAAAAAAATTCTTTCTTTATACTTTTGGAACAGGTTAGTCAGAAAACTCAGCTGGACACAACTCCAAGCCTGCTTCAGCCTGCTCTAGTTAACCATGCTTTGAACAACGGGGTGGGATTGATGATCTCGGTGATCTCTTCCATCTGCAATGATTCTGTGATTTGGTGTACCTGTGTCTACTGTTGTCCTTCTAGTTAGTCTGAAATAAAATTGGAGCTTGTTAGTAAAAAGTAAATTCTAAGTTTGAATGTAGAGTCAGATGTTCTTGACAGAAATAGCTGCACTGCTGAAGATGCTTTCTTCCATTTCCAGCTGTCATTAGACTTTACCTAGAATTTACTGCCTCTACAGCTATGCAGATGGAATTTTTTTTTGATTGCTTCTAGTTTACTTTCCTGAAAAGTTGGCCATGTTAATTTAATTGCCTTTCATTAGGCAGCCTGATCTGGGTGACTTTGTACTGAGATTGTTGGGGAAGTAAGTGTTCAGAAGATATGGTTACAGCAACTGACCTGCAAGGGAGTGAACTTGCACCAGAGTGCCAGAGCAGCCTGTAAGTGTTAACCTCCTAGGAAAGCCTTGCAAATGTCCTGACATTTATCTGCATTCCAAGGGACTCAAAATTTGAGTGGACAATGAAAGAAGAGAAATAAGAAGATACTTCTGAGAGACTTTCAATGGATGCAATAGTTCTTACCTAGCACCAGTTTCATGTGAAATTTCTTTTGCTAAAGTACAGCTTCATAATGGAATATGAGGAACCAGCATTCATAGGTGGCTTCTGGTACTTTATGCAACAGTTTATTTCAACTAAGTTTCACTTGGGGATAAAAGCTTGGCATTTTAAGAGTGCCTTCTAGTATTAAACACACCCACACACACCCACACCCCCCCCCCACACACACCACTACCCCCCAAAACAACAAACAACCTTGCTACAACCTTTTGAGCCTTTCTTTTGCCTTACTGAACAGTTGTTTTGGATAGACTTACTGTACTAAAGTTACAGTGTTTTAAGATTTTTGAGCTGTAGGTGATACCTGAGAACTGCCTTTTGCTGCTATCTGCTTTGTGGGAAGGAATTACCTGGTTAGACTGTATACAAGGTTTTCAGAAATCTTCAATAGATCATTTAAAACATAAATATAATTGATTTCAGTTGAAGCTAATTATGGAGAAGTTACCCATGCAAAATCCTTAGTACAAGTAAGATACTGAAAGGGCATACTCACCTCAAGTCCTGTGAAAGATTTGCAGTTTATGCACAGTGCACATGTCACAGAGCTGTCAATGGCTGCCACTTACTCTAAAACCTGCACTTCAAGAGAAGTGAGTCTGCCTGGACTACTGGAGTTGATAGTGGCCATCCTGGACCATGCTTCTACTCCAGCAGAGGGCCAATGGACTCCTTGAGAGTCCATTGTTACTTCTCATTTTTTTAAGTACTCTGTAAAGTTCTCCCTGCTCTGGCCAGGGATATGTTTGTTACGCTTGGTCACGTTATTTTGTTATGTGGCTATTGTGGTTTGGTAAGAAACCCCTTTTGTCTCTCCCAAAGCAAAGTTCAGAGAAAGATCAGTATCGTTATGCTTAATTACAAATGTAATTAATTATTTTGTTAGAGGTGTTTCCTCATATTTTCATCCATTATGAAGAGGTTGACCTGAATTGGCATGCTTAAGGAGTAAATATTATCTCTCCCCTCCAAATACTTATATTTTATATGGCAGTAGCTTATTGCGCCCTTATCAGTGTAATAGGGCTTTTACTTTTTCACTGCTGGAGCAAAGATTAAGAGGCAAATTTGATCATCTTTCCAAAACAGTCAGACTTCTGTTGATGAGCAAAGAGCAGCTTTTCTTTTTTGGGGCAGGAAAAAGAATTCTGCTCAAATCCTTAAATTGGGGTTATGCTCTTAGCTGTAGGAGTATTAATTAGCAACTCTGCCTGTGCTAATAAATTATCCCCTGCTGTCACAACCAGAAATTTATGCACCCTAATCTGTGAGTGAATGGGACTGGATAATGAAAAACTATTCCTTTTTATACGAAAAATGTAAATGTTTTACTATTCCTGATTGATACACAGAGAGGTCTGTTCAACAGTAGCTATTCAGACAAAAAGTGAGCCAAGTTCATACTCGGGTTTAGTAGCAAGGTAAGCCAAGCTGTTACTGCTGTCTGAAATAACTCAGCTGGCTATCCCCACTTGCTGTTTTACAGTCATGGGAGAGAAAAGTCTTCAACTGTCTTGGCAATTTGTACATCTGGAAGTGATTCATACTGTAAGAAAGATAGCAACACAAGATCATTTCTGTAATTTAGAAAGTGTCATTGGGTAGCCTTTTCCCTGGCTTGATAGTTTAATGTAGAGATTCTGAGGCAAGAGATTTTACTGAGAGCCTCAAAATTTTCAGTAATACCAGCATGAGATTGGAACTGGTGAGCATCACAAAATTGTTTTAAATTTGGTAATAGTATCTTACATTTTTCTTTGACGTTTCAGCAGGAACATTCAGTGTCTTCCTGAATTTGTGTGACACTACAATTAAAAGAAATTAGTAGCTAAAATAGCCTAAGCTGGACAAAAAAGTTATTTAAAATAATTTAAAATGGAATGGACCTCTGAAAGTCATCTTGTCCAATCCCATGTGCAAAGGAGGGCCAGATTTGAAGGTTAGATCTAACAGGCTTCTCAGAATTATTCTAGAGCCTTTTTGGACAATCTGTTGCAATGGTGATCACCCTCACAGTGAAGAAAATTTCCTAATATTCAGTAAGAGTTTATGTCCATTGCCTACCATCTTTAAACATGAGCGTTTGAAAGTCTGGCTCAGTCTTCATTAAAACTTACTTCTATGTCTGCTTACACAGCAGAATAACTCCCCCCTCTCCCTGGTTTAGTTTTGTCATGTTAAAATTAAGCAAAATCAAGAAGCCAGTTAACAGGCCAGTCTGTCTTTGTTTTCAGCAGCCTGCTGATGCAGGGTGCACATGGAACATCACTGCCACAGTGGCATAAAGGGACCGATCTTATTCTTTTGTAGTGTTTCTGGAAAGTATAAAAAGGCTGCAGTGGTATATCCTGAAGTTGTCTGATTTGGTTGGTGAGAATGAGGGACATTGTTATGAAGTAGTGCAGTGTTCTTTTGAAGGGTTGGAGTTCCATGAAAGGCCCAAGCCATAGCTTCTGTCCCTGTAACATAAAATATTGTTCTTAACAAATTTGAAGTAAACAGTAAATGCTGGCATAACAAGGGGTTTCTTTGATGTTTTAAGGACATTCAGTATTACAGAAGATATTGAGACCTGCCTTGGGTGCCGTTGCACTTTTTAAATTTACTGACAGCACTGACCTAAGCAGAAATTGTTTGGGTTTGTGGTTTGTTTTTTTTTCCCCCACAAGATTCATGCTGGGATTTTCAAAGCAAGTCTCCAAATCCTAAATCAGATTATCAACTCAGAATTGAGCACCTAAATTTGGGTATCACCCCAAATTCCATTGAACTCATGGTAAGTGATTTCTTGAATTATGTTCAAGAATGATATAAAGGCATATGTAGAATAAGTAGCCCATTAGAGAAATGTCCCCAAACATTTAAGTCCTCTGCCCAGCATCCTAAGGAGCCACCACAGAGACACAGGCAGTGTCTGTAGTGTCCATACCAGACACTTCTGTCACAGGATATTGCAGTGCTTCAGACCCAGTGATAGGCCCAGGCATTGGCACATGAGTAGGAGACTTGTAACTTTGAAACTGTATTTTTCATTTAAGTCCTTGGAGATTTGGTAGGATATTTAAGGGTGCAAGATCATTAGACTAAAGTTTAGGATGAAAACTGGTCCAACTAAGGATTAAGGAATACTTTCATCACCATGTATTTTACAGTTATTTCATACAGTGGAGTGAGGCAGGACAAGTTTGCATTTGAAGGCAAGTCTACCTGTGTGTTTTAAGGGGGCCCTGAGGAAATCGAGAAAACAATTGCCCTTTGTTGTGCAATTGAGTGGGTAGAAATGGATGACACAGCAGTGAAATGTGTATCTGTAGAGGCAACTGTGTTTTAGCCATGAGACTGGTAAGTCAATAATGTTGCTAAAGCTAACTTGCACCCTTACAATGAAGTACTTCTGAACAATATGCAGAATTTACACTTGAGCACTTTAAAATGCCAAAAGTTCCATTGTCTTCCACATTTTACCAGTTCAAGGTTATACTTAAATATTTTGACATTTTTGTACTTAAAATTACAAGTATTACCCATAGGAAAGCTCTCTTCTGAGTATTTTAAGCAAAAATATTTTAAAATTAGGTGTCCACTTCTGCAAGTTAGTCTTGAAAATGTTTGTTTTCAGTTGTCAGTTCATGATTTTTAAGATTCCCCATTTCATGTCCTCAGCAATTTTATTTTTTTTCCCTTTCAAATCGTGAACAAATACAGACTTTGCATGTACCTCAGCTAACCTACACCTCAGTGAACTGTTATTTTGCAAATACTTTCTCAATATGTGGAAAAAACCCAGAAGCCAGATTACCGTTAAGGATAAAAAGAAAGGGAGCTCACACAGAAAAAAAGTCAACTTTGAAAGCGAAGTTCCCACTTACTATCACAATGTGTTTAGCCTACACTGCTGCTGAACATTGTGAGAGGAAAATATTTTGTACATTCGAAGTGTGAATATTTTGGCACTTCTCTTTCGTAGGATTTTATAGTGCTCTCTTCCAGATGTCTTGTGGTAAGAACAGGCCAGTTTGTTTGGGTTCTCCCTCTCCCCCTCAGGATCTGTATTTGTCCTGCATAGGACATGCACAGAGACTGCTTCTGAATTTGCAGTCTCATCTAATCAAGAGACTGCTTTCCACATGTCTTGCAAAGCAAGAGACAATATATTTTTCATCCTAGCTCACTTGATTAATAAATATGATATTGCAAAATACCCAGTATGTGACAGTGTCACATACTATCCTTGATACCATTGCTTTCTGTAGCTATTACAGTTAGTAGTAATTCTGATTGCTGGTAGAACAGAGAGCATTTTGATTTACCACTGTGGTAGCTTACTGTACTTTGAAGGGGAGAGCATTTGCATACTGATCAAATTCCTGAAATCCCAGAGCCTCTGTGTTTCAGGCACCACCACCACCACCCCTCCACCCCCTGTCCTCCAGTCCCTTTCCAGGAATTAAACTATTTACTGGACACTCTATTGACATCTCAGGTTCATTGTCCAATAAGTCTTT